CTTTTCAAAATCTAACCCTAAGATTACATACAATACTACAACATATGTTTGCCAAACCCTTAAACCAAAGAATATCATGATTCACTACTTCCACTCATCTATGCTGAAAACAAATCAACTTTATCATTTCTTAATTTATATCACTTATAAATGTTTATAATTACATGTTTTTAATTTTTCACTCATCAAAATATTTTTTTACAGAATTTATAAATTATTTTTAAGATTCAATCGTCTAGACAACTAACATTTCAGTCGTCCAGACGAGTGAAAAGTAACTCAGCCCGACTCAGACAACTTACTGGGGTTATATTCGTAAAAATGTCTTCTGTTTTTTTGTTTTGTCACAGAGCACTATACTGTAATTTCATAGCCCTTTTAGGTTAGATTTGCATTTGATTCAAGTTGGGGTATAGTATTGGGGTTAAAACCAAGTTGTGGGTTAGTTTTGATACTAATGAGGGCTATGAAATTTGATATTAGCCTGCGAGTCTCATCCCGTTTGACCCGCCATGGAATGGGTCAATCGATTTGGAAAAAATTAAGTTGTGGGTTTGGGTCAAGTATATTTTACACGGAACGGATGCAGATTGTTCTAATTTCAATTGCGGGTATCCAGTAATCCACAAAAATATAAAAACAAATTTGTTCTCAAAAGTTTATTTTTCAAAATATACTAAATTTCGTTAAAATTATTATTATAATTTAAATATTAAAAACTTAATTTAAAATATAATATTGAATAAAAATAATTATTTTATTATTTAATAATTATCTGCAAGTTCCGCTGATTACCTGTAAAATTAAGTGGGACGGAGGCAGATAAATTATATTTTCTTTGCGGGTTAGGTAAGGCGAGTTTGACCGGCTTCCCAGCACCAGACGTAGTTAATTGATATTATTTTCCAATAGTAAAACTACACAATTACATACAATACACATACATAGATATTGATGATAACAATAAAATAAAATCTGCATTAATTTTAAAAAGTTATATTAGATAGTGACATTTTATATCATCAAAGCAAAAGACTTATCAATCTATCTGTAGATAAAATAACAAAAATTATACCCGCGCTTTTTAAGCATGGGTCAAAAATCTAATTATCCCTTAAAATGAATTTACTAATCCATGTCTCCTTAGTACATACTATAAGGAAAACCCACTTTAGTCCTTCGTTTTTAGATTTATATTTATAATAAAAATGTAAAAACATAAGTATTAATTAAAAATAGGGAAAAAAGTTTCTCAGCTACACGAAATTTACACTAATACGGTGGAAACCATCCAATGTATAAAAATGTGTCAAGAACTACACGAAATATATGTTAATACATTCCACATATACGAAGTACATGATATTATGGTGGCAACATCACAATCAGATTTAATTGTTCTTAAGCTAAGTTAATGGAGTCAATCCGTAATTTATGAAACTTAATAAACTTAATTGATTTTAACTATTAAAGTTAATAAAATTAATAAGCTTAATAAACATAATAAATTTATTAAACTTAATAAATTTATTAAACTTCATAAACTTAACAAACTTAATAACTTATAAACTTAATAAGTTATTAAACTTAATATACTTAACAAACTTAATAAACTTAATGATTTATTAAGTTTAATACATCTTATTAAGTTTAGTAAATTTTATTAAGTTAATAAAGTTTATTAAGTTTTTAAAAATTATCATGTTTAATAAGCTAGAATCCTAAAACTAATAAACAAAATAATTTAATAAATTTATTAAGTTTAATAAGTTTAATAAGTTAATAAATTTATTAAATTATTATGTTTATTACGTTTGGTAAGTATATTAAGTTTAATAAATTATTAAGTTTATAAGTTATTAAGTTTGTTAAGTTTATTAAGTTTAATAATTTTATTAAGTTTAATAAATTTATTAAGTTTATTAATTTTATCAAATTTAAAATTATTAAACTAATAAATTATTAAACATAATAAACATAATATTTTAAAAAAAAACTTACAAAAATTATTAAACTTAATAAAATTATTAAACTTCATAAACTTAATAAACTTAAGAAACTTAATAACTTATAAACTTAATAAGTTATTAAACTTAATATACTTACCAAATTTAATAAACATAATAATTTAATAAATTTATTAAATTATTAAACTTATTAAACTTAATAAATTTATCAAATTATTTTGTTTATTAGTTTTTGGATTCTAGCTTATTAAACATAACAATTTTTAAAAACTTAATAAACTTTATTAACTTAATAAGATTTATTAAACTTAATAAGATGTATTAAACTTAATAAATCATTAAGTTTATTAAGTTTGTTAAGTATATTAAGTTTAATAACTTATTAAGTTTATAAGTTATTAAGTTTGTTAAGTTTATTAAGTTTATGAAGTTTAATAATTTTATTAAGTTTAATAAATTTATTAAGTTTAATAAATTTATTAAGTTTAACAAAAAATATTAAGTTTATTAAGTTTATTAATTTTATTAAGTTTTAAAAAATATTATGTTTATTAAGCTTATTAATTTTATTAACTTTAATAATTAAAATCAATTCAGTTTATTAAGTTTCATAAATTACGGATTGACCCCATTAACTTAGTTTAAGAACAATTAAATCCGATTTTGATGTTGCCACCATAATATCATTTACTTCGTACATGTGGCATGTATTAACATATACTTCGTATAGTTCTTGACACATTTTTATACATTGGATGGTTTCCACCATATTAGTGTAAACTTCGTGTAGCTGAGAAACTTTTTTTTCCTTCAAAATAGTTATAATATGTTATTAGTAAGTTAAAAAATCCAAAACCCAATCGTCTCCACTGTCGAAGCTCGATAAAGGTCATTCCCGTCTTCACCATCAACGTGTTCTCTCTGGCGTATCTCGGTTCGTCGGCTGGCGAACTCTAAATCGTCGTGCCATCTTCCCTTCCCCCTTCCTATGTGGTATCATCTACCTTTGTTTTCTCCGACTTTGTTTTCTCTATGAACAAGTGACATTGTTTTCTCCAACAACATTAATCGGCATTGGCATGAGGCGGACGAAATTTTCATCGCTGATTAAGAATTGGTATTCAATTTTCATCTCAGTTCTTTTTTTCCAAAAATTGAAGATTAGATTTTGAGATCCCATTTTCGATATTATTTTTTCTTAGATCTTGTTGATGAATTAGTAAAATACTGAATTTCTTAGAGTTGAAAGTTCTTGTCTAAATTTGGAAACAGTAAATGAAAAGGTGAACAACAGTTCAAAACCTGATGGTGGAACTAAGAGTTTCACGTTTAATAGTTAGCTAAAGCAACAAGAAACTTCCCTGAAGTTAATTTGCTTGGAGAAGAGGGTTCGAGAGAGTTTACAACGGTTGTTTAGATTCAGGACAATTCAGATCTTTCTCTCCTCTCCATCTTTCTTCACAGAACAACTATGTTTTGTATGAGACTTTCAATATAATTTAATTAATAAACGCAGGTGGTGGCTATTAAACAAATGAATCCAGATGGGCTTCAAGGGAACCGAGAGTTCATAGTTGAAGTCTTTATGCTTAGCTTATTCCACGACTCCAATCTCGTTACACTCATCGGTTACTGTACTTCTGGTGATCAGAGACTTCTTGTCTATGAATACATGCCAATGGGCAGCTTAGAAGATCACCTCTTTGGTTTGTTCCTTAAACTCTTTCTCCATTATCACAAATTTTTTTCAAGTTCTTGAATCTATGTTTTTTTTTCAGATCTTGATCCAAATCAAGAACCTTTAACCTGAAACACAAGCGTGAAAATCACGGTAGGTGCGGCTCGGGGAATAGAGCATCTTCACTGCACAGCAAACCCACCAGTTATTAACCGCGACTTGAAATCCGCAAACATATTGCTAGACAAAGAGTTCAACCCCAAGCTCTCTGATTTTGAACTAGCTAAACTCGGTCATGTAGGAGATAGAAATCATGTCTCCACATGTGTCATGCAGTGAGCTGGAAACTAACCGAGAAATCGGATATTTACTGCCTTTAGTGTAGTGTCACACACACACACACACACACACACACACACACACACACACACACACACAAATCTTGAGCTCTTTAGAACTTTCAGTTTGGTGTTCTGTAAAAATGTTGTATTTGGTCTTTCCAACAAAACTAGCATATATACATATATAATTTGGTAAATTTTTTTATTCGTTTGTTATACGTACTTTTCCCTACAATGCATATGAATATGAAAATTAAAATTATGAACAATTGTAATAACATAACAAAAGGTCATTGCCATGAATTGTAACTTGTGGCTGAAGAAACATGAAGCATAAGCTTAAATGTATGACTCGGTGTGGTTTTGCAGACATTTACGCACTCTTCTACATCTTCATCACAAGTCAACAAACCCATTCATTGACTATTCAGCATTGACTATGAGCTTCCTAAGTTAATTGAAAAGTATTTTTTACAATTTCATCTACAAGCAGTTCATACAAAGAACATATACTTCCCAGTCCAGTCTTATGGACATAGCCAGTCGAGCTCGCAACGAACTTTGAAACTATGTTGAAGAAAACAAAATCTTACCCTGCCTAATGGTCTCAAAATTTGATGCAGCAAAGAAAACCTTCGAATATTATAAACAGCCCAACCCTAAAGGAGAAAGAGAAGAAAACAAAAACACCTTAGCATCGACTAAATATCAGACTACTTTTACTTAGTCACTGGCCCTTAAGCAACACATGAACGTAAATAGAAAGGGTGAAGAAACATACAACTCGAGCTGAAAAGACACTACAAAGGTGTGGAGTTTGGTATATAGTACCGTCCACGATTTTATATGTAGCATCATTGTAATTTTGTCGAAACAATCTCTCTTTCTTACGAAAGACAAACATGTTTGACTCAGTCAGTAGAATCACCGATCACATAAGCTTGTCGTCATCTTCATGCACAAAAAATTATAATCAAAATGAGTTAAAACCAAAAGATCAATCCTTTGATCGTCCAACACTTTCCCACGAAACAAACAGACAAAAACCCTAAAAGTTTGAAAGCGAAAGTAGCAAAGAGATGATTACGAAAGTTGAGAGTGATCGAGAGGGTGAACAGATCTCTGGTGAAGCCGTGCTGTTCACCACTGAAAGAGGGGATATTTATACTTGTACCTTCAGTTGGTTACTTTGGGATGTGATTAGGTCGATTGAATGCTTTAGAGTGGGTTAATCACGTAGAAGATGGTATTAAAGTAGGTATCAAGAGACGGAGAAGACGGAGAAACCAAAATTAACAATGGGCTTGATATTGTCAAAAGCCCAAACAGATTTTTGACAAAACTTAATAATTATTAGATGCCACATGTAATTAAATCACCTATGGATAAAAATAACTTCTTTTTATTGTATAAGAGACTCTGTTTTTGGGTATTACTGATGCAGAAAGTGTGAAAGTCAAAACTGATTTCTGTTTAAAACATACTTCCTCTTTTTCAATTTTGGTGTTGTTTTAGAGTAAAATTGTTGTTTCAAAATAAGTGTCGTTTTATAATTTCAATACAAAAAATTATCTACTATTCTATTTTTCTATTGGTTGAAATGTGGTTAGGTGTATAGGAAATTATATTGTTTTCTAGAAAATATGTAAAACTAAATATTTTGTTATTCTGTGTGTAAAAATTCAAAGTGACAATTAGATTAAAATGGAGGGAGTGTATTAATCTGCATGTAATTTCATGCAATTTGTCAGGCCGAGCTTGAATTCTAGACCCAATTAACTAATAAAGGCCTATATATTTCTAAGGGTACTTGAGTAAATACAAATGTTTCTAAATACCGCGTCTAGCATGTGACTTGTGAGAGAGAGAGAGAGAGAGAAAGGAGTCCATCCATATCAGTTCAGTTTCCTACGCAGTCGTTGGTCGGTCTCGGCGATCTTATCGGAGAATTAGATTGGAGTTGGTAAATCTAGGGATCTGCAACCAGCAATGAATCGCCACCACGATCCCAACCCTTTCGATGAGGAGGAAGAAGAGATCGTCAATCCCTTCTCTGTAACCGCCTTTTCTCTCTTCTCGCCGCTTTCTACTTCTGCGCATTTTCTCTAATCGATTAAGTATTTTATGCGTTTGTGACGGACGGTAGATGAATCTCTAGATCTCGAGTTTACTTAGGATTTCAAATTGATTACTCATTTCTGTTTCGAATAGTGTTTGAGGTTTTGAATCTCCTATTTTTCAGTATAGAGTTTAACGTACTGAACTGTATCGTTGGATCTGGGAACTCTAGTTAAGATTTTCCGAGAAACTACTAGTGTTTAGCCTGTACTTTGGAGTGTCTTATTTATAAAATGATTGTGACTCTTTCCTTTAGTTTTTAATCATCTTGAACACTCGATAATTTGCAGAAAGGAGGTGGAAGGGTTCCTGCTGCATCTAGACCAGTTGGATTTGGCCAAAGCCTCGATGCTACTGTTGATATTCCCTTGGATACCATGAATGTAATCACCTTCTTTTGTTAAAAAAAATTTCCCCGATATTCCTAATGAACCTCTTCTCAGTTAAGTTTAGCTTGAATAATTTGGTGCAGGAATCTTCGGAGAAACAGAGAAAGCTTGCTGACTGGGAAGCTGAGCTTAGGAAGAAAGAAATGGTCTGTACCACCACCACTGATATGAATTTTTTCAAATATGATCTTCACCGTGCTTTTTTAGATTGATGTTTATTTGCATGTTCTCTTCATTCAGGATATTAAGCGGAGAGAGGATGCTATTGCTAAATGTAAGCCAACACACTACTTGATGAAAATATTTTATTACTAGTTTTGTGTAACTGTAGCAGTGTCAATTAAGGTAAGCTAACAACTGATGTTGCAGCCGGTGTTCAGATTGATGACAAAAACTGGCCGCCGTTTTTCCCAATCATACACCATGACATTGCTAATGAGATACCGGTTCATGCACAAAAGCTGCAATACCTGGCTTTTGCTAGTTGGTTAGGTATATTCTATTTGGTTGGTTTGTTTGTCTATTTCTGTGAAATGTTTTTACTGCGTTGAACTGACAGGGGCTTGTATTGTACTCTGCTGGCTTTCAGGTATTGTTTTCTGTCTGTTATTCAATGTGATTGCCACCATGGTCTGCTGGATTAAAGGCGGGGGTGAGCTTCACACTATACTACTATTATGTTTTATCTTCTGAAGCTCTAATTGAATTTACCTGAAGTTGAACTAATGATGGTTTTAATGTGTTCATGATAGGTGTCAAGATCTTTTTCCTTGCCATAATATATGCGTTGATGGGATGTCCACTTTCTTATGTTGTGTGGTACAGGCCTCTCTACCGAGCAATGAGGTAATACTCCTTTCTTCCAATGGAGATCCAGGACTGTTCATGTAATTGATATACTTCTTACGACCTTGTAGGACTGACAGCGCTTTGAAGTTTGGTTGGTTTTTCTTCACCTACTTGGTGAGTCATGAAAACTTTTCATATCTAAATTTTGTACCTTACCGATAAGCAGGTCGTTTCCATTTCCCATATGATTGACCTTTGCTCTTCACAGATTCACATTGGCTTCTGTGTCGTTGCCGCCATTGCCCCGCCAATTTTTTTTCAGGGAAAATCATTAACGTGAGTCCTACAACCATAAGCCGACCATGTTTTAAATTCTAATGCGTTGGGATAACTTTGTTCACATTCTTTCCTTTGTTCAACAGGGGTGTGCTTGCAGCCATCGATGTCATCTCAGACAGTTTATTAGCCGGGGTACAAGCCGTAGATCCATTTACGCTTATAATATGCTTCTATTTACCTTGAAGATAGAGCTTAATCTAAATGTGAGCTTAATGAATGAATGCAGATCTTCTACTTTATCGAATTTGGTCTCTTCTGCTTGGAGTCACTTCTGAGTCTATGGGTTCTTCAGGTAAGCCTCTGATAATACCTCTTTATAGTTTCTGTTAACCGCCAAGGGTTATGCAAATTGAACCGGTAAGCATCTGAGTTGATCGTTTGTTTTGGGTTTACAGAAAATCTATCTCTACTTTAGGGGGAACAAGTGAAAAGAAGGGAGACAGGATGATGGTAATTTTTCCCTTTAGATAAAAAGGACTGAAAATGTGTGCATCTCCAATGACTGTAATTACCATTTTACCATTTGATGCGTTGTGTTGCGGTTAAATTCTTTAGTTACTATAGTAGTAAGAGAGAGAGTGGAGTTATTAAGTGTTCGGCCATTTCTGTAGGGCTTTTTTTCTTCAGTATCTTCTTTTCCGTCTGTAACACAATATCGTCTGAACATTTGGATTCTTTTGCTCGACGAAGTGAAATATTAAAACAACCATAGCCATTAGGGGTAGGGTTAGGCACAAGCCTAGTACTCAATATTTTGATATACTTAGTATTCAGCTTGATTTGTAAGAGTAGTAAATATTTCGACTTATATTTGTTAAAAACAAATACTTAGAATTTCAAATACTTGCAAAAATTTGAAGTACTTATACGTTATTTGCATTGTTTTATTACTTGTTCTTTGTAAATTACTTATAAATTTATTCATAATTATTAGTATATTATTTAATAATTTATTAGAATTTAAAATTCACAACCATAGCCATTAGGGGTAGGGTTAGGCACAAGCCTAGTACTCAATATTTTGATATAGTTAGTATTCAGCTTGGTTTGTACGAGTAGTAAATATTTCGACTTATATTTGTTAAAAACAAATACTTAGAATTTCAAATACTTGCAAAAATTTGAAGTACTTATACGTTATTTGCATTGTTTTATTACTTGTTCTTTGTAAATTACTTATAAATTTATTCATAATTATTAGTATATTATTTAATAATTTATTAGAATTTAAAATTCAATAAATTTATTATATAAATAATTTTTCATTGTTTTCTTGTATTTAAGTCATTCGGAAAATAGACTACATAAAAAGAGAAACCTATAAGATGTTATATAAATATAGCACTTATATTTGATGTAATTA